AGCCCGATGCGGGACTCGATCCCGGGACTCCAGGATCATGACCTGAGCCGAAGGCAGTCGCTTAACCAACTGAGCCACCCAGGCGCCCTATTTGCAAATATCTTAAAAGAGTGAGTTTTATGGCATGTGAATTATATCTCAATTTTCATAAAAATCCCTGAAGTTAGTGTGGGAAGGATGGTAGGAAAAAGGAAGCAGTATGATATGTCAGCATCCCAAAGGACAATGGCAAGAATGGGTGGGGAGCAGGGTTCGGTCACATGCTCAGAGGTCTCGGAAGAGTGGAGGTTTCTTTAGGTCAGCACTAGGTTCATCCTTGTGCGGGGTCCCCTGATGTGGTGGTATGTCCTCAGGAAGCCTACAGCCTGGTTGGGCAGGGAGCTAACATCCAAGGCGCAGCTTTGAGTGATAGGAAATGACAAGGTGGCGGGGTGGTGACAGCAGAAGAGAAGGAACCCGATCCGCAGAGACATCTTGGGAAGAGCGACGGGATGTGGGACTTGAGCCTTCGGAGTGTTGACGTTCGCTTCCCCAGCCAGTGGCAGAGCACACCTCCTTTGAAGCTAGGCGGAATTCTGCCTTCTGACCTGCTTCCCCAGCTCACGTCTGGCCTCCCTGCCTCCAGTTTGGCAGTCGCCCAGGGTCATCTTTGGGAGCCGCTGCGGGGGAGAAGTTAATTCATTTGGGGACTTGAACGTCACTTCTGTTGCTTCCAGGTGGGACTGGTGTACATGTTTAACCTCATCGTGGGCACAGGTGCGCTCACCATGCCCAAGGCCTTTGCCACCGCGGGGTGGCTGGTCAGCCTGGTCCTGCTGGTGTTCCTGGGCTTCATGAGGTAAGAGGCTGGCACACGGGGGGCCGGGAGAAGCCTGCCCAGGGAGCCCTGACTTCTCTTCATTAACATGAGGAAGCATCCCTGAGGGGGCAGGCAGATGTCCCCGGTGAATCCTAACCAGGGTGGCCCAGCAACAAGAAAGGAGACACAAAGCTCTCCAGGTCTCGTGCTAGCAGTCACACAACCTGATCAGTTAAGAATCCAGACATCTGGCTAGGCTTTGGAATGTTTCACAATGATGCTCACATCGCTTCCCCAGCTGGTTGACTTTCCCTATTGTATACTTTCTTAATGGTACCATTAATTTTTGTTCTCCGAGAAAATACCGCCTAGCCCCAGAAAAAGAATCAGACAGTGATAAGGGAAGTCAGTTTGGGATTTAGAATTCGTTTAAGGTAGTTCATGCAGTAAGTGATAAACACACAGGTACACACATAATCAAGGGTTAACCTCACCTCACCTTGTGCCTGGGGGCAAATATGGGGCCAGTGCCTTCCCAGGCTTTCAGGGGCTCCTACTCCTTGAGCCACGTGTGTGGGCTTCCCCAGCTGCACTCCACAGAGGGGAGAGCCTACTTGAGGCTCCTCTCGGGGATTCTACGTGCAGGTGGGGACTCATTCAGCAAGTACCCTAGGCTCGTAAGGGATTTAGGATTGTGCATTTCCAGATAGGAATCCACAAGCTGCCAAAAAGGGGTAACGGAACACCTGGAAACACCCCCCGGGGTACCTCCCTAGGAGAGGCGACAGTGGCCACTGTTCTTGGGTGAACAGAACAAAGATCCCTGCCCTCAAGACTTTGTTCTCTCTCTCTGTGGGGAGACATAAGGAGTGGAGATAATAAGAGAATTGTAGAGTAAATTGAAAGGTGATGAGTAACGTGGAAAAAAACCCTACAAAGCATGGGGGGGGGAGGTGGGGGTGATGGCAGTTTCCGGCAGGTTGTTGGTGGTCACGGAGGGTAGCGGTTCGGCAGACAGGAAGGAGGGAGGAGCGGGTGCTCTTGGAAGGATGACAGGGTTACAGTTGAAGCCAGTGAGGACCTCGAAGAGGCTGAATAGGATAAGAGAATGCCCACATTTCTCTGTTCCTTTACCCAATTTCTTTTGGGGGTTTTGTGGCCACCCGTGGGGTACTGGCAGCCAAGAGCCCTAGAAGTCCTTGTCCTTCTGTGACTCTGCTGTCCCCTTTAAAGGACCTTCAGCATGGGCAGCCATCTGAATGGGAAGTGATTATTGGGGGCCCCCAAGTAGGGGCTGCCATGTCCCCTCCCTGCTCAACCCATTTATATTTGAACATGATCGATGAGTTGGCTTCGTGCAACCATGAGAAGCCTCTTTATGCCTTAACTAAGATTGATTCTAGTTTTATTTGCAAAAGGAAAGGAAAATCTGAAGTCCTTAAAATGGTCACTTAAGCAAGATGAGAAACCTTTCTAGAAGGTGTGAGGCGCCGGAATGGGAGTTTCAGAGCTGGCTGCCCTCCACCCCGCAAGATGGAGCGGGTGTGGGTTGAACGCCTGCCCCGCTGGGCTGAGCGGTCAGCCTGTGGCAGGCAAGGGCGCTTGAGGAGGACTGGGGTGGAGCCTCGAGAAGGAGGGAGGTGACTGTGCTGCTGGGGTTCAGCAGGGAGGGACATAGTCCTCGGGTTTCTGGGCATCAGCTTTGCTGAGAGGAAGAGCGAAGATGGCTTTTCACTCTAGTCTGACTCCCCAGCAAACGTCTGCTGCCACCTCCCAGTGTCCCTTTCCATTCAAGCCGTAAAAATGTAAGCTTATTTTTACATTATCTAGATTGTTAGGAAAGTAAAGGTACTGCCAAAAAAGGAAGGAAGGAAACATGGAAACACATTCCGGAGCCAAATGTCCCTTTTCAGTTATCCATGCTTGTGCTCCTGTCCGTGAGTGTGTGTAACCACTCATCTGTGTCCCATCAAGGACAGGTGAGAGCTGCCCACACCCTTCCCCGAAGCTTTCAGAAGGCCCCCTGTGAATCGGCCTCCTCCCCGCCCTGCCCCCAGCAGGCCCCTTCTTGGTGTGTGGCACCGCATTGCCCCACATCCCCCTTCCCGCAGGCTCACACTCTACCCCCCCATCAGCCTGTTGCACACCCCTCTCTCCCGTGCATCAAATCACATTCTAAATGTGGACAGGGCAATCAAGGCAAGCACGCCAGGCGTCACGTGCACACACATTTTATCAGGTCAGATGCATCTCGAAAGCTCCCTTGGGAGCAGCTCTCAGAAGAGAGATCGCTTTGGACTTGCTGGTCTGGTCAGGTCTTAAAATGGTTTTTCCTGTTTCATTGTGCCACCTCTGACCTCCTACCTGCCCTTGGCAATTCCCCTGTGGCCTTCCCCTGCAGCTTTGTGACGACTACCTTCGTGGTAGAGGCCATGGCGGCGGCCAACGCTCAGCTCCACTGGAAGAGGATGGAAAACCACCAGGTGTGTGTATTGCCCTTTCTCCGGGTGGTGCCTGGGTCCAACGCGTGTCACGAGAGGCGGCCCTTGGGGGCCAGTTCTTTCCCCCCCGATGGATGGCGGGCTCATGTCCACAGCACTACTCTGAGACCCTTGTCCCGGAGCTGAGGCTTGACAGCCGCATACGCTTAGCGAGCAGATGCAGTCTCTGCTCTCTGAACGTCATGTCATGGGTCCCTTGAACCCTTAATTGAGCTTGCTCATCATTGTGAACCCCAGAACTGTGCTGCAGCTTCAGATCTGACATCTGAGTGTCCGCACCTCCTAGTGTGGCAGCATGGGGGTGCTGGGGGGTGCCCCTGGTCAGAGAGCATGGAGGTGCTGGGGGGTGCCCCTAGTCAGACACCTTCTGGAAAGAAATAACAAAGGAAATGGGTTTTTCAGTTTTCCATGGGTTTTCTGTAGCGTTATGTGCCCCCTCCCCGCCCCACCCCTCCTAGGAGGAGGAAGATGACGACTCCTCCACGGCCTCTGACAGTGATGTCCTTGTCCAGGACAACTACGAGCGGGCAGAGAAACGGCCCATCCTGTCAGTGCGTAAGTCTTGGGGTTCTGGGCCGGCTGGCACCTCCCTCTGGTCCACAGGGTTCCCTTTCTTTATAGAGAGGACGGGGAGTCTCTACACAGACCCTCTGGCCAGATCACGAGCCTGGGGTCCCCGCTTCACCCTGCTAGCTCCCCCACTTGCTAATGTTTGCAGCTTGGGTAGATTACTTACCTCAGTACCCAGGGCACACTGGAAGCTCGAATAAATGTGGGGTGTCTGACTTCATCCTCCTGTCCCACCGTGCATGCATGCCTGACCAGTCCCATCCCGGGTCCCGCCGAGCAAGCCAGGGCCAAGTGTCCCAGCTCCCCCCACCCCATAGCCCCCTCATCCATAGCGAGCATCCCTGGAATCCCTTTCTGTAGACTGTTTTAAAATATTTCAAGTGCGAAACATTACAAGTTTTCACAAGAATTTGAAATGCTTTAGGATTTCCTTACTGTGGAGAATTTAGTGAGCTCAGGACCTCCTCTAGGAGCTTTTCCAAATGAAAACTGCTTCCTCTTCCTTGTTCATTTGGCTCCACAGAGAGACGTGGATCTCTGAACCTTTTTGAAATCACAGACCGGGTGGAAATGGGACAGATGGCCTCCATGTTCTTCAATAAAGGTATAAGTTCTTTCTCAAGGTGGGGTGAGGGCGAAGGGGGGTACTTTCCGACAGACCTTGACAGCTAGGGATGGGGCAGGCGATGCAGAGGAGCAGGCTGTGGGCCAGCTCCCAGCACATTTGAGCAGCCACCTTGCCGAGAGGCCTGAAGCGCTCACATTGTGTTCCTGGATCCCTCCCTGTTCATCAGCGCTAGGAAGAGAGAAGCAGCTACTTGGTTCCTCCTGCTGGTAGAGGTCAGGAATCCTAAGCAGCTTTCCAAGGAAGGAAGCCAATGGAGCCGGCTGGTAGCTTTGTGCCTCTTGCTTGATAGCTTCTGACTTGTCTCTCTTTTCTCCTGGACTGTTCAGTCTAGGACAACACAGGGCAGATCCCTATGATGGTGGTAGGATACACCGTGCACATGCCTGTGTGTACCTGTGTGTGTCTCTCTCTCTCTTTCTCTCTCTCTCTCTCTCTCTCTCTCTCTCTCTCTCTCTCTCTCGTTTTCCGTCCGCCCCCACCCCCCGCGCCCTGGTGGCCAGCAGAGGGCGCAAGGAGTCCACGCACGGGTTGCTGTCTGGGAATCTGTCTAACTACGAGCCCTCTCCACCCTGTCTGCTCCGTAGTGGGACTGCCTGCAGCCAAGAGGATCCCCCTGCCCCAGCTCAGATGTTCAGTGACAACTGTTGTTCTTTGGGAAGATGAGCTGTTTAAGAGCTTAGCTTTTTAGTGCCCAAACCTGCCCATTCCCCCTTCATAGACAGACAGATCTCAATAAATCCTCTTCTCTGTAAGGATTTTCTCTTTGGGAGATTTTCTGCCCCTTTGTCACAGCCCCTGTTTGCAGGGGGGGCATCTCCACTGGCTCTTTCTAGTCTTGAATGTGGTTGCAGTAACTCGAAGCCTGGGGATCATAGAAACCAGTCTTCTTGACTGCTTCTCAGGACATTAAGCATTCGGTTTATCACTGGTGGTGTGATTTGACTGTCCAGTCTGGAAGATTATGATCATCAGCCAAAGATTGCCTCCCTACCAGCTTCACAGAGGGTTCCAGAATCCATGAAAACCAGATTGGTTGTGTGCAGCCCGCTCTGTGCTTTTCCTGTATTCTGTTTCTATCTCTCCCCATCTCATTAGATGAAGATAAGAGTGAACATTTCCTCTTGGCAACCGCACGCAGTCCCCCTCCAAATGCGGGCTTTGGAAAGAAGACGTACATTTGGAGAGAGGACATAACACCTTTGAAACTCCTTTCCGATTAGCATGTTTTACAGTCCACTCTGATTTCTTTAACAATTCTGGGAACCCATGTGTTTTTTGTTTTTGTTTTTTTCCCCATCCCCTTACAGACTAGACTTCTAGTTCATCCAGATCTAATAGGAAAGGAGCACACTCATACGAGAGCAGCCTCACACTCAGGGGACGCCTTCTCCTCTGCTTAGGGTTTCCCACACTCAGCACTGTTGACATCTGAGCTGGCTCATTCTTTGTCTTGGGGCCCATCCTGTGCATTGTGGGAGGCTGAGCAGCATCCTTGGCCTCCACCCACTAGGTGCCGTAGCACCTCCGAGTCATGACAACCAGAACATCCTCAGACCTTGTCAGCTGATCCCTGGTCGGGGTGGCGAGGCGAAATCCCTCTCAGCTGAAACCCACTGCTCTGCCCTATTCCTAATTCAAGGGTCATTCTCCTCCCCATCGGAAGGACTGCCACTCTCCACAACAAGCCCCCTTGGGGTCCAGGCTCACTTCTTGTGACTAGCAATGCCAGGCCTCATCATTACTGTCTTCTCAGGAAGCTCATTGATCCTCCCGTTTTGTGTTTAGTAATGAAGTTTATTGATCAGGGAGGGCCGATGGCAGTTTATAAACGGCTGAAACTGCAGTCCACAGGTGAGTGGAGGAGAGGGTGCGTGGGGAGGGGACAGTGCCTCTCTGCAGAGAGCATTGGCATCAGAGCAGAAAGACAAGCTGAGGCACAGGCTGTACCTGGGGCCTGGGGTGTGAGTGGCAGCCAGACCCCAGGGGCCACTGAGCTTGGACATCGATGCTATCTGAGGCCCTCTGGGGTTCTTACAAGGACCGTATTTTCCTAGTCTTTTTTCCCCCAGACTCCTCGGAGCAGAGCTGACCTCAAATAACCCAGGAGGAACATGTCCCCGGCTTTCCCCTTGGGGACCCTAGAGGCTCTTCCGAGCCACCAGCATTAGAGGGGGGCTGTCACTTTGTTTTTCTTTCTGTTCTCAGAGAGGCCAGGAGCTTGAGACCCGTGATATCAAACACGAGCAGTCAGTCTGAAGGGAGTTTGGACTGGCTGTCTGCGGCCATGACCCTGAGGTTGTAGGGCCTGGATGCTTTTTTCAGAGCTGTTACACCTGGTCTTTAAAGCTGGAATCACATATGGAATTTAGCACAGGTGGAATTCTCACTGTACAGGATGGGAGATGGTCGGGGACTTGCCACAGCCAGGAAGCGAGATCAGTGGCACTGGGGCTGGAAGCTGCGTCCCCATCTCCTGGTTCAGGCCCCACCAGGGGGAGAGGGGAGCAAGGTTTGCCTCTGCAGAGGGAGCTTCCACGTGCACCATCCAAAGGCAGCATCCTCCCTGGCAAACATTCTGACCGTGAGCTCATCTTGCACACGCCCTCCTGCTGCCCCTTCTGTCACCAGCACCCCAGGCCACGCCTTCCCATCCCCGGGGCTTGGTGATCAGTCAGACTCTGAATGAGGCACTTGGTCTTTGGAAATCAGGGGCTTTTTACCCTCTTGATTTCAGCTTCAGAAGCTGGACCGTTTTTTGTTCTCTTTGCTTTTCAGGTCCTCAGTACCAGCCTTTCTCATAGAGTCCTGTGTTTGGCTGGTCCAGACACACGGGCTCAGGCTCCTGACTCAGGGCCTCTCTCCTCCTCCTGCCCAGCAGCCTGTCCCAAGCATGAAGGCCCCTCTGATCCTCCCCAGCCAGCCCTGCACTTGCCCGGATTCAGAGCCTCTGAGGCCTCCAGCCCCACTTAGCCTCTCCGAGGTGACCGTGACATCACGGGCAGCCGTGTCTCCTGCCACATCACAGTGTAGCCAGCCAGAACAAGCCACGGGACTTAGTTGTTTTCTTTTTGTAGAAAGTAAACAGCCTGGAGAAAGGAACGGTGTGGAAGAGGTCGAGACCTGACTGTCAGGAAGGAACACAGGCGCCCCTGTGACTCCCTGACAGTGACTCTGTTCCTTTCAGTGGGGGTCAACTTGTTCTATTTCTGCATCATCATTTACCTGTACGGGGATTTGGCCATCTACGCTGCCGCCGTGCCCTTCTCCCTCATGCAGGTGACCTGGTGAGTGGCCCCTCCCACCACCACACTGGCTGTAGTCAAACAGCCTTCCTCGGCCAGTCAGGGTAGTTTTGGTAGAAGCACAAGGCCCAGCCAACATGTCGGCATCTGAAGCATGGAGAGGCCCGAAGCCCTTTTCTGCGCATCCCACAGCTGGCTGCGCTCTGTCCTTTGGAAGCCCGCTCAACACCGCTGTCCCCCTCCCTGCCCCATTGGGAAGATGCCTGGGATCCCCACCGGGGGCCCCCGAGTCGCTGGGAAGTGGTGTCACATTAGTAGGTGGCACCTGCCCAGAGAGGGGAGACTGTGATTCCTGGCAAGTGAGGTGGTCGGCCCGGGAGCAGCTGCGGTGGGCATGGAGGCTTGGTGGTGGAACGTTCCATCCTGCTTTCCGCCAAGCGGGGGCCACACTGAACCACTCTTCTCTTCATCAGCAGTGCCACTGGCAACGAATCCTGTGGTGTGGAGGCCGACAGCAAGCACAACGACACGGACCCGTGCTGGGGGCCCCTGCGCCGCGTGGACGCCTACCGCATCTACTTGGTGAGTGGCCTCGCCTCGGCCCCTCGGCCCCTGCCCAGCCTGGCTGGTCGGGGGCATTTGAACTTTACTCTCTGATCAAGCTCCCTCCCCAGAGAGGAGGGTCTACACAGCTTCCCGCTCTGGCTAGTTACTGGGGCCATGGTTCTGGGCAGAAACCGTGTCCCGTTACTGAGAATCTAGCCTTCGTGTCTGGTCACACATGGCTCGGAGTTGGCATTCGGGACATTGCCAGCTCCTGGCTGTGAACTCTTGTAAATTGAGCTCGGGGTTTGAGGGGCATGGCTCTTAGCACAGCTCTTCAAGAGTGTCAGAACGAATCTCCTGGAGACTTGCCACGTTTTGACCTTACTGCTGGCCAGCCCAAGAGCAAATGGGAGGTGCCGGGCTTCCTGACTGGGCAGGCGGGACTGAGCCATCTTATGGTTGGACCTGACCACAAACAGGCTCTCCAGATAGGGAAGGATCAGCCCAGCTCTGTCCCTGTCTCCCCTCCTCCCCACAGGTGGGGGAAGAAGATGAATCTCTAGGCTGTTCTCGACTGCTTTGTGCCATGGGCAGGAGGGGCGGGTTGGAGCTGGATACCATGCCAGACGGGTCTTGGGTAATAAGACACGAAACCACAGGCCGTTATTTATCTCTGCCTGCTTTGTGGGCAGGACTCAGAAATGCTTCCTTCGCCCTTTTGCAGCATCTATTAATATTCTCTGCCTCTTCTTGGTCCTCCTTAACCCCGACACAGATTTAGGTGTGCGAGGTGACACACAGTTTGACACGTGGCCACTTGGCTGATTTGGAGCGGGAGGCAGGGTTCGGGAGAGAGCCGAGCCTTTCAGGGAGTTGGCCTCCTGACTTAATTACCCCCATCCTGGCAAAGGTTTCGGCAGGCCCTGCCAGCTGGTATCTGGTTCTGAGTTTGTTAACCCAGGGCCACTGAATGGTGGGTTTGCCTTCCCATTCCCACCCTGTGGACCTACTGAAGCCAGCCTATGGCCCAAGCCTGGGGAGAGACTGGTTTTCTTCTCCTGCGTTGCCAGAGCAGTCGGATGGTCTGGTTTTTGTCTTGCGAGTTCACCCATGACTAGAAACTTGTCTCTTAGTAGAATCATATCTCATATCCCCCCACCGCAGGTCTGGTAGGAATTTGGTAGCAAGTTAATTCCCTGGCACAGTTCCCCACTTCCCCTCCCCCCGCCAGGAGGGGGAGGGGGAGATCAGGAGGTCAGCACAGCTGAGGCTGTTAACCTCTCAGCATTTCAACAAACTGTCATTGATAAAATTAGCAAAAGTATCAGTGAGTGTAACGACCCACCTGGACCTCTAACTGGCAGAAGGAGGACGGGAGGAAGGGGTCCAAGAGGCTCAGCACGGACACAGGAGCATGTCCAGGGCAGAGGCACCTGCCAGAGGGACCAGACCTCAGCTGGGTCTTTCCAGGAGAGGCTGTTAGAGTCTGTGCTGAATCTGCCTGGCTCATCCCCTCCCCAGCAAGACAGATACGGAGTGCTAGGAATATTGGCCACTGCCATTCGCCTGGTAAATTATTGAGAAGCATTATTAGTGCTTTATTAAATTGTTCCTTCACTTATTCCTGTAAACATTCCACATGATGGGAGCCTCCCTCCCTGAATCTCAATAACTCCCTGACGGAACAGAAGGAGCCGTTCAGGAAAGCCTTCACCTTGCATATACTGTGCTTATAACTCCTAGGGCTGATTGCCACCCGGCCTGTGAAAGCTACAGAGATGGGAAGGGTGAGCAGAAGCAGAGCCTTGTTCTCGCTGGGTGGTTGTCCCCCTCCCCCACCTCCCGGGCCCCTGGTGGGGGCTTGGCGCAGCAAGTATTCTGTTGAGATGTGCTCTTCTGCCTGGTTTGGAGAAATTTAAGGCAGACGGAACTCCACATTGTCTCAGGAGTTACTTTACAACTCTGCGTGTGGCTCCCAGGGTGTGTGGCTCCTGAAGAACCGTGCCTTCTGACCCTCCACGCTGGGCGCTGGGCGTCCGCCCTCAGGCCTCCCCTGTCAGGGAGCTGGGACGGATTGGCAAACTCGGAGGTTTCCTTCCTTGGTCCTGAGCGGTCTGTTGCAGGTGAGGACATCTTCCCGTCCCCAATCTGACCCACAGGGCTCAACCGTATGTCTTCCTTCCCTCAGGTGGCCTCTTCAGATCATTAAGGAGGAGGGTTATACTCCTCCCCCTACCCCTCAGTCATTCATGTTCAGAAGATTGTTCATCCCTTCTAGAGACTCCCACTGCACCTCTTTCTACCTGCGGTTTCTGATTTTGCTGGCAGCGAGACTTCACCAAAAGGTGAGGCAAGGTGGCAGGCAGCTTTAAAGCACCCCCAGCCCGTGCACAACCATCTCCTTGTCTCAGGTAGATGATGCACCTTCCCAGCCGGCGTGTTTCGAAGGGCCTTGTAATAACCATCTCTTCATTGCTATTTTGGGACAGTCCATTCTGGGGAATAAAAGTACAGGCTTTTATTTTGTGGTTTAATTTCCAGAAAGTCCTCTGGAAACAATCTTTTCTGTGTCTTCCCAGGAACGCTACTGAAATGCACACACAGAATGAGGATATTTGGGGTATTAACTATATACCCAGAGGCCAGCCTGTGCATAGCATCATGATAAGAAGGGAGCTTTCTCCCAGCGGCTCCCAGTCACCTCCCAAAGCCCTTGACCTTAACAGATGGAAAATTCCTCCTCCCGTCCACCCTGCGACCTCCGTCCACATCCTGTGATTGCCAGTGCAGCTGATATGAGTCAGTCTCTCCCTCTCCTTCCTTGGAGTAGCCACAGAGCGGGGCACTGGGAGGCAGGGGTCCCGTGAGTCACACGTGCTTTCCAGGGCCGTCCCCACAAGCCACTGCAGCTGGAGCCTTCAGTGACCTGGGCCCTGGCAAGAGCCCATGAGAATCAACATCAGGACCTGCTATCAGCTGGCCTTGGATTCTCAGAACCCCACCACCCGCCTCTCCTGCTCCTTTGAAGGATCAGTGGGAAAGTGTTGGGTGCCCCTACTCTTTCAAACCAGTAACCTCGCCTCCAGGCTGGGGAATATCTTGGGATTCTTTCTGCAGAGCTTCTCTGGCTTTGCTAGAAAACAAAGTCAGAATTGAGCACATCACTCTCTCCTATGCCGTGAGAAGGAGCCACGGACCAGGGGTGAAGTGGTACTAGGATTGTACGGAAATCATTTCCGTCCAGGATTCCAACCGTCCCCAGTGTCTGGGAAGCAGGTTGTGTGCCGCCGTCCCCTGGAGTCCAGGGCACTGCCAAGTACTCGTTCACTTCCTCATCCCAGCAGCGCTTCCCAGCCCGTCCCTCACACCCCCTGCCCCAGGGCCTGGCCCTGTAACTGCTGCCGTCCCTTAGAGTGTCAGGGGGAAGCCCTGGGGCCGCAGTGGGACTCCCCGAGGGCCAAGAGCTCCTCCCGGTTCACAGGAGCGGCCTTGGCCTCTTACAGGTGGACAGATGCCGCTAGGTCACTGGCAGCCCAGCAGGCGCCGGCCCAGCAGAGCCGGGAGCACAGATGGCAGAGCGGGCTCATCCTGCCTGGAGACTCGGCCACAAACTGATGGTATGGAGCGGGGGCCCCTCGTGGGCTGCCTTGGGGCAGGACAAGGTCACCCTGGCTTGCCATCCTGCCTTGACACAGGAGCCGTGAGATCCACCTCCAGGGCCTGGGTGGCCCGGGGGAGAGATGGAGGCCTGCACGTGCCTGGCAGATGACCTGTCACCTTCTGCTGGGCGCCCCCTTTAAGAAGCAGGGTGTGTGTTGGGGGCTGCGTGGGAGTTTCGGGAGTTCTGTCTGCTGGGCTCTTCCTACACGTGTAGGGCAGTCCGATTCGGGCTCACGTTAACATCGGAAGGGTCTTCTAGGCTTTCACCGAGAGTCCGGTTTCTCCCTCTGCCAGGAAGTCGGTTTTCTGATTCCGTCTTGGCTCAGGCTTATGCAGCAGTAATTGTATCTGTCGTTTGCAACATTTAAAACAGCATGCAGTCCCTTTTTTAAAACCCCGGGGTCTCTTCCTAAAACGGGTAAACGTCCTTTTTGTAAGGAGGTGGAGAGGGGAGTGACGCACCTGCGTGGCTGTGCCAGGCCTTGACCGGCCCTTCCCGTGGCGGCTTTGCGTGGGTGTGACGCATTACCGCTTACTTTCTCCTTTCCCATTGGGTCCTCCCAGCCGCACAGTAAGGCCCGTGGCATCATGCCACTTTACGGCAGAGAAAACTGAGGCTTGAGGGCTGTGACTTCCCCTGGGCCTGGCTTCCATGGGGGGTTACCATCCCGTCCTCCGGCCCCGGTAACAGACTTGCTAGGCTTGCGGGCAGTCCTGCTGGCGAGGCCAGAAAGAAGGGGTGGGTCGCGCCTGGTCATCAGCCCTTGGAGCTTGATGTTTGCAGAGGGGTGGGGCGACGCTGCTCAAGGATGGTGTCCTTTCAGTGATCCGTGTCCACACACCCTGTCTGTCTGCTTGATTGATTTGCTGTCTTTCTTGCTGCCCCTCGCTCCTAGATAGTGGAGCAGACTTCTCACATTCGCTCAAGGAGCGCTGGAGTTGGACGTGTCTTCCCAAGGACGTTTCCTGTCCCTCCCACAGTCCCTTTCTGTGTTCTTTCAGCATCAGCCACTGTGCCCTGGGGCTGTGGCATCTGCTAATAAGTGGGTCACCGCTGCCATCACTTGAATATTTATTCTTACCAATTCTGGGGCAGGAGGTGGCCTAGAGGCCTTCAGGACCAGCGAGGAGGGAAACAGTGTGGCACAACGAGTTTCAGCAGCCGCAGTGACTTGACAGGATGTGGGGACTCTCGGGAACACCGCCGGCTGCCCCAGAGCACAATTCCAGTAGGACACGCATGGACGCTGCCCCTGGATTTGCCACCGTCAGGAACCTGGAGTGGAAGGCAGCAGCAGTTAGCTAGGAAGGGTGGCCCCAGAGGGCAAATGAGCTGTCTCTATGGAGGGCTTGTGGGCTGGCTCCATCTGGAAGCAGAGAGCAGAGCCCTAAGCTCACAAATGGCCTGATGGCAGTTTCCCTTCTCTGGGCCACCGTGCCCTCCTGTCTGACGCACATGGGTCGGGACTCAGTAATGGACCAAGAGATTCCTGGCTGCGTGGGCTTACTCCTGGGGTCTGGAACATCAAAGTGTACCTTTTGTAGGATGGTGACCTACCAGGGAAGCCCATCTTTTTTTTCCCCTTCCTCCCCACAATGTGCTTCTGGTCACAAGCTCCCCTTCTCGCATTCTGGATGCTCAGAAAGGTCCGTTTTGCTTGGCCTCTCTCTCTCCCCCGCCTCGTGAGAGGATGCCAGTCGTACTGGGCAGTCACTGCAGGTGCAGAGGGAGGGGTAGCCCTCGGGACCCGTGCCTGGTCGACACCGGGAACTTGGCGTGGGGGTGGTCTGCAGTGTCTTCAGCCGGTTGCACGGTGTCCTTATGAGCCTCTCCCCCATGTGCTGAGCCTCCACCTTCAACCCATGATCCTGGGTCTCGATGACAAATGACTTTCTGCCCGATGCCCCAAAAATGCGTGGGCCCACTACCCAAACAAGAGCTGGGTCTCTAACGTTGAGGGATTGCTGACTTCAAACAAGCACCAGTGCTCACATTGAAGTGACTGACTTGAAAGGATTAGCTTGTCTCTCTTTTTCAAGGAAATCAATAATACAGGGACAGGCCTGTGTTTTTCTCTCTCTCTCTCTCTCTCTCTCTCTCTCTCTCTTTTTCTCTAGGGAGCTGTCTATATATTTCATCCCGGGAATGGCCTCTTGGTTTTTGGTGTGCTTTCCATTCCCCCAGCCCAGTCGTTTCTAAATGAAATTCAGATTGCTCTGTCACTCACTCCAGCACTGTGGTTTGTCTCCAACTCCTGCCAAGGGACCCTATGAGCCCCCAGCCCCCCGCCCATCACCCACGGCTGCCACTGCTCCCGCCGCCTGGGCACAGCCTCCTGCACATCCCCAGTGCCTGCCCAGCTGCTGCCCAGCATTGCTCTGGACCAGCCCTCACCTTTCGGTGCAGACCTGGGTAGCACCTCCCTGGGCCATGGCGACTGCCCCCTACCCCACCCCCAGCACCTTTGGGTGTTGGGGCTGAGCTTCCTCCTCCAGCTCCGTGAGAGATTATTGTTTTTATTTTTACTGTGCCTCTCAGGGACATGGGTTCTGTCGGCTGGCGTTAAGCCCGCCATCCATCACCCCCACATCCTGCCTCTTCCATGGCCGACACCCGATACACCAGCATAGAGAGTGACACTTAATCCCCAGTGCTCCCAGTAAAGATACCAGGTGATGGGAATTTGGACTAGTTTCTCCTGGACAGCCCCCACCGTCCCTCCCCCAAGTCTCAGAAGCTGCCCGTTGCCATTGGTCAGGGTCCTGCGTTCTCTACTCTGACCTGGTGGGTGGAGGGCACTTACATCCTAGCTCCTGAGCCCAGACCCCCTCGTCACAATGGCAGTTTGAGCATCTCTCTGCCCTGTTAGAATGTCCCAGGTCCCTGCCCCCATATCCATTGTCTGGCAAGTCACGAGTACGAGTACGTGCTTATAAACACCACTTGCCCAGGGCAAGCTGTTTTGACTCCTGGGCGCATGAGCAGATCTCAGATAAATCGGCCTGGATTCTCATCCTTCCGCCCTACCCCCTTCCTCAGTTCAGCCAGGGAGGTGCCCTGGGATGGGGGAAATCATCTTGTGTGCCATCACCTGGCCACCCCCACCCCAGCATGCTCAGCTCTTAAGAAACCCTACTGTATGAAAGTCCAAATGCATAAAACAAACTAGGGGTAATTATTTGTTACAAAGTTTGTTGGTTTGCAGGACTGGCTGCAGGTTTCTTTTAAGTACTTAGTTTTTCTAATGGGTGTAAAATGTTATTCTATGAAAACTGAGTATTTATAAATAGAGCTTTTAGAAGCCTCTCTCTCGTAAAGGTAGTATCCAGGTGTTCACGTGCAAAGGTGCAGCAATCCAAAGCCTGGTTCGTGTGGAAGCAGGCAGACATAATGTGGGGTTGGGGTGGACTCAAGCAGCCCACCGACGAGAGAGCCAGGGATGCACACGCTCTTGCGCACATGTGCAGCCTGGGAAGCTTTGCGGGGCTTGTTAAGTGTATACCCACGGCCCACGCTCCTGCGCAGGCCAATTTGGTTGGGAAACTTCCAAATAGGTCTCCGTGGGGAGTGCTCATCCCTGCTGGGGACCTTCTGCACTGTGCTTTTTCAGGACCGTTTTATCCACACTCCACGCTGATCCCAGGCAGCCCAAGCTGGAGGCTTGAGTGCGCCTTCTCCATGAGCGGTACAAGTGGGGATCAGTGTCTGTTGCTCCTCGCTTCACAAGCGTCCTGGGCCGACCCTGCCACCAACCTGAGTGCGTTTTCAGCCATTCCCCTCAAGCTGCTCCAGGCTAACCCCAAACAGTTCAGCCCAGGCCATCTCCATGCTCCACATCCCCTCTGCTTCCAGCCTTCCCTTTCTGGGACTAAAAGTGACTTTGTTTTCTTGAAGAAAATATCCTGGTTGATTTCACATCTTCCGCTCCCCTCCTCCCCACTTTCTGTTTCATTTCCCCCAAAAGTACAGGGGAAAAAAAAAAAAAAAACCATCATCTAGAACCCAACAGCCCCTGCTAAGTGGTTTTAGAGGAAGGTGGAATGTTCTTAAATATTTTGTGTTAACCAGGATGGGAACCGTAGCTGCCAACCCGTTTTCCCCTCCTGCCCTGTGTCTGTCTGATGCTTTCATTGCATTGAGGACCCGTGGTACTCGCGGGGGCCCTGCTGAGGTTTGTGGGGCTCTGGCTGCTCCCTGAGCGATGCTCACTTCCTGATACCGGGTGTCTGTTGTGAGCAGAATCTGGTGTCTTTCTAAATAGCGCCCCAGGGCCCCAGCAGTAATTGCTTAATTAAATAAAGCACTCGTTCTAAAGTAATAACTATGCTCCTCCGTGTTGCTGGCATCCCAGCCGGCGGTGCTGGCCATGCAAACTGTGCCGAGAATCAAAGTGTCTTTGGGCACGTTCTCCAGACCGCAGGCCCGCCCAGAGGAGAAAGCAGGAGCCGAGGAAGTCCAGAGGGTTTGCAGCTGGCAGAGATGCCTGGGGCCCGAGCGTGATGGGCATCAGGAGAGCTGAACAATTAGGGTGCATATTAATGATGACATCTGATAAATTAGCAGGAGCTCGGGCTGTCTCGTGGATGAGCTGAGAGCAGACCAAGGTACATTTTAATAAGCCTTCAAGTGCAAAGGGAGGTGCTGCAGAGCACTTTGCTGAGCAGATGCTTCGTGGTGAGCGTGAATCTGGAAGGAATGGTCACAGAGCGCAGCAGGGCATCGTGAGTTTGGCTCTGGGAAGGACTTCCTCTAGCCGCGGATTGAGACGTTCTCTGGAAACCTTGACAAGAGGAGGGAAGAGACGGCCGGTCCGGGTGCGGGGTGTCGACTGGTGGGGCTGTGACGCGTAACCCTCACCGCTGTAGGGAGGTTGTGCTCCACCCAAGAGACAGGTACATGGCCCCTAGGAACCCTGTCCAGCTCTTTGCCTTCCCCCAGGTCAGCAGCATGAGCCTCAACTGTGTTTCAAGGTTTAGTGCCAGGAACCATCTTCCGGTACTTGTTAAAAATATACATTCCTGGGTTCTACCTCCAGCCCAATGTAGCAGAGCTAAGGCTTCAAGGCCCAGGAATCTGTACCTTCAACCAGTTCTGAGGAGAAATCTGTGTCCTCTCCCCTTTGAGAAATCCGGCTGGCTGAGGGCCTGTCCCCGTGGTAAACAGTCTCCCGGGGAGAGGCCTGCTCTGGTCTCCCTTAGAGAACTGCCCCCAGGCTGCCACTGTGGAGGCAGCCGTCAGGGTCTCCCTGTGCCTTGCCTCCTCCAGGGGAAGACAATGGCCCCACGTCCGCAGGTGTCCAGCCTGGCGTCACAGGTAACCTGCTGGTGATGCCTCACGCACTTCAGTGCAGACAGAGAACATCATTCCTCGAACCAGACTGTTCTCAGGCTCTGGGTGTCCCCAGGAGCAAAGGGGCTCCAGCAGCATCCCTTTGCTAGTGCCTTCTTTGTTAACCCAGGGCCAACAGGTCCCTCCTGCGTCCCTACGGGCAGTGCTCTTGGCTTCCTCTTAGAGCCCACAGCGTGCCAGCCCCACGGAGAGGCCTTTCACTCCTACCATCAACTAGGGAGGAAGCTGGGCATGTGAGTGCAATGTCTTATACCCAGGTGGGCAGAGCTTGTTAATCAGCCAGCTTGATGCCCTATCTCCCCTCCCTCCCCACCTCCAAGGTTACTCGGTGTGTCGGCAAAGACTCCTGCTCCCCAATCTGTCTATTTCGAGGTCTGACGTCAGCAGAGAAGGGGTGGAGCCAGTTTGGCTTGTGCTCCTCTCTGCAGGGCTCCTGTGTTCTGGGCACCTGACTTCCCTCCCTCGCTCCCCTCCCGCTCCAGCGCAGAGCAGTCCCACCGCGTCCACTCGTCCTGCACAGAGACAAGCGGCCAGAGTGGAGTGAGGCAGGGAAGGCGCCAGAACACCGACGGCCGTCAGCTGGCATCTCTCGTCCAGTGCTGCACAAACTCCAGGCAGCCTCCTCACATCCTCAGGGCGGGGACACTAAAAGCAGTCAGATGCCACCTGGCTACTGGGGTTGCCAACAGCTCGGCAGGTTCTAAGGCCCAGGAGGCCCGTGCACCAGCCGCCAAAAGTATCTCAGCCTAAGTCCTGACAGAATCAAGTGGTTGGGGGATGATGGGTGGGTGCTTTTCTCCAGGGTTGCCGCTGAGGGGCAGGATGGACGGCCCAGGGGCTCCCCACCCCCTTCCCTCACAGCAGAGTCTACCTGTTCCCCTCAAGGCCTCTTGTTCTAAGGACCTCTGAGGACCAGCTGACCCCTA